TGCCCGGCCAGCTGCCGCGTGCGCCACCTCCAGGTGACCCGGCCCTCCGTGTCCCCGGCCTCCCACTCCACCGAGGCGCCCACCGGGTAGGCGCCCGCGTGCGCGCCGAGCAGGCCCGCGTAGCCCGCGGCGTCTCGGCCCTCTGGCGCGCCCTGGCAGTGGTGCTCCTGGGCATCGCTTCGCCGGAGCCGCTCCCCGCTGGCGTGGCCTCGGCCCCACCAGCCGACGTACCCACCCTAGGCGGGGATTCGCGCCTGTGCCTTCTGGTTCCGCAGGGCCTGACTACCCTCACATATCGGCGGTGAACAGACCTCCCTGTAGGAAACCTCCGTTCGGTGAAAACGGCCCAGGACAGAAGCCGACGGCCCTGGAACCGCCAGAATGACGGCCGCGACGCCCTCTCGCGAACCGAGAACGGCCAATTCGCTAATCGACGTGTCAGGGTAGGAGGTCTGTCCACCTCCGAACCTAGGAGAGAGTGGGCTGGTGGGGCTGAGATACCAAGGCACAGCGGTGAGGTTGGCGATAGGCTGGACGAGGCCGATCTCCCTCACGCCGGTGCTGCAGCTGTTGGCAATCGCCACGCGCACCGCGCCCTTCTCCATGGGATCCAGCGCCGCCAGGGAGAACGGCTCTGGCGTGCAGGACCACTTCACGTCCGGCGGGGAGAAGATCGCCCACGTGGCGTCGCTCTGCACCTTGGGAGCAGGGCGAGCTGAGACTGCCCAGAACTCCCTCGCTGCGCGGGCCAAGAACGACAGGACGTTGGGGGGGGTCCGGCTCCTCGGGGCTCTCGCCGGGCTCCTCCTCCTCCTCCTCCTCCTCCTCCTCCTCCTCCGCCCTCCTTCTCCTCCTCCTCCTCCTCCTCCTCCTCCTCTTCCTCCTCCTCCTCCTCCTCCTCCTCCTCCTCCTCCTCCTCGTGGGGGGCCCACGTCGTGACAGAAAGCACGACGTCGAGGGTCCGCGGCGGCAGCTCAAAGTCGGTCCCCGGGACCCCTCCCAGGCTCCCCGCGCGCCCATTGCCCGAGCCGCGTGCGGCCGCGGCGACGCGGGCCCCCCCGAAGGCCAGCTTTAGGTCGGGCCTGTCCCCGTACAGAAGTGGAATCTACCCAAAAAACCAAACATGATCAAAAACAGTTAACAACCCGTCCCTAGACTATTTCTGGGCTGTTTGGGAAGGTCCCTCCTGTAGAGTCGAGGGACAGGCCCCCCTGAAGGCCAACTGCCGCTGCTGTCTCCGCTCGCCCTCCTCTGAGCACCAGCTCGACGAGGAACGCCTTCCCGCTGATGGGGCCCCCGCCGCAGTCGACGGCTTCGCCGTCCACCCGGATCTTGAAGAGGCCCTCTCCGTCGGGTCGGAGCTGCTGCTCCGTGGTGACCTGGCCAGGTGCTGCCCGAGGTGTCCCTTCGTGGCTCTTCTGACCCGGGTCAATCCAGACCCGGGTCAGCCAGGCCTGGCAACATCCTGCAAGATCCTGCACCCAAACCCGGGTCAGTGCGAAGGATCCTGCAAAATCCTGCAGGACCCTGCGCCCAAACCCGGGTCAATGCGACCCTGTCCCTGCAGGATCCTGCAAGATCCGGCGCTCTGGCGGACCCCCGTTTGCACTGACCCCCGTCTCAAGGCTCCCGATCCCTGGCCCAACGGATGCCCCCGGCTCCTCGCTTCATTTTCAAGTCGGGCGTGTCCCCCATACAAGGGAATCTTCGACGAAAAATAAGAAGTAGTCAAACAATACCCCAAAATTGACAAAAATACTCAAAAGACAATCCCCAGACTATTGTTTTGGGGCTATTTTTGAATACTCCTCCTGTAGAGGGACAGACCCGACTTTACTCCATCTTGGGATCCCTGGCCCTCTGGGCCTTGCGGTTTTCAAAGGAGGGCCCCACGCGCCCTCCAGACGCGCGCCCCGCGAGGCCCTGCGAGGCCCAGCGGGGCCCCCTCTGGGGCTCCAGAGTGGCGCGAGAAGACCTCCGTTGGGCCAGAGGGACACCAACCGGCAACTGAGGGGCGACGATAGGGGCGACTGGCCCAGGGGAGAGCAATACATGTATCCGGGGGCGCCGATGATCGATGTCTTCGACAAGGCTCCCGGGCGAATGCGTGTAATGCCCGCCCCTGGGCTATTCGCCCTTCTCGTCGCCGCCGATCAACGCCTGGACCTGAGGAGTCACGCCGGCGTACTCGGCGGTGATGTTGAGGGCAGCACAACCCAGCCCCCACCGCCAGCCAACCCAAACAACCCCCACCCCCAGCCCCCAGCCAGGAGCCCCTGGATCACCAGGTCGGGAGCAGGGATCGACCTGAACAATGCTTTTCGTCCTCGTGTTGCTTTCGTTTTCCCTCGTTTTCTCTTCGATCCGCCTTTGCTGCAAAATGTAGCTGAGACGAAAACGGCCCGAGAAGCCGCTGAGACACCGCTTGGGTCGACCCCTGGTCGGCAGTTGGGGTTCTGGCTGGGAGTGGGGGTGGGTGGGTCTTGCGGTCCTCAGATGTAGGGCGAGCCCCGGACCAGGGGCACCTTCACGCCTTGCTTGGGGTCCCTCATCGGCCAGTTGAGGGTCACGCCCAACTCGTCCCAGCTCGATGCACGGGGGCCCTTCGGGTACTCCTGCGCGCTCAGCGACAGCGCCTCGACCTTGTCGAAGCCCTGCGTCGTGACGCCCGTGGTGAACGGCTGCATCGCGTGCAAGCCCCGATCGTCTGCCATGATGACGTAAGGCATCTGGAAGACGTTAGCCTCTGGCGAGGACGTGTCCCCGGCCATTGCGAGGTTCTCCCACCATGCGTTGGTCGGCAGGGGCAGCGCGTGCTCACTGAGAGCCCAGCCAGGGGTCCCCCCCTCCTTCCTTTGGCGGCGCGCACAAGCGGGTGGGGGGAGGGGGGGAGGCCTCTTAGGAGGAGGCTGCTTCTTAGCGGGCGCCAGCCCTACATCTACAGACAAGGCCCGTGCCCTCTGAGGAGCAGGGGTGCTTCTGAGAAACCTTCCCCCCCCTCCCCCACACCCGCTTCTGCGCGCGGCCGATTCCTGTTGTCGACCACCGAGAAAAGCTCGGCCGGGTCGACTGCCGAAAGGGGCTTCACCTCTGCGCACCGGCCAAACTGCGGGAAAGGGCCGGCAGCTGCCAGGGCGAGGAGGCGCGCCATGGCGGCCACCCGGGCAGCCGCGGCGGCATGGGGTCAGGAGAAGATTGGGCCCAAATGGCTGCAGAGGCAGCTGAGCTGATAGAAGCGAACAAGGCGGCAGGACGAGTCGGCATCGGGGCCGCATCGGCACGGTGTCGGAGTCGAATCGGATCGGCCGCACCAGCATGCGCAACTGCCCTTGCAAGCAGCTGGGCGCATCGGTTGGCTGGCAAATCGATATGACATTGGATTGAGCACTGCGAGCTCAGAATCAAATCGGATCGACCGAGTCGGAATGAGCTCTCGAGGGTGGTCATTGGCCTGTGGTCAGTCGTGCCTTGCCGCCGTTCTTTCCGTGGAACCTCAGGCATGGACCTCCTAGTGGCTCCGTGGCACGTGGTCTGTCGCACCCCGCGCCTTCCTCGGACCTCCTTCACGGCCCCGGGCCCGGGGGGAGCAGAACCAGCATCCGTTAGGGAACCGAATTCTATACACCGAAGCTTCTTCCGGCTCCGCACCGAAACTCGCACAGGAAATCGGATCCTGGTGTATACGGGATCCTGGTATATACATGCGTCGCTGCTTCCCATAGAACATGCGGAAGCCAGTATACACCACACGACCCCGACGTCGTCCCCGACCATCAGAAGGTCCTGGGATTGAGAAGCAGCCCGCCACTGGTAATGTTTACCAGCCTGGAACATATCCCTATCCCTATGCTGGACACCTCCTCGTCACGATGCCAATCTTAGGGATTCCCTTATCTTTTGAGGGCGCATCCCTAAGATTGTCATCGCCTTCTGGCGTGTCAATCTTAGGGATAGGGATAAGTTCGAGGCTGGTAAAATGTAGATGCTCTAGTTTCCGATCAATAGTACCTCCCTCCTGCCTCCTCCCTCCTCCCTCCTCCTTCTCCTCCTTCTCCTCCTCCTCCTCCTCCTCCTCCTCCCTCCTCCCTCCTCCCTCCTCCCTCCTCCCTCCTCCCTCCTCCTCCTCCTCCTCCTCCTCCTCCTCCTCCTCCTCCTCCTCCTCGCCGCGGTGGGGAGCCCGTCAGAGTGTTACCGGCGAGGGCACACAGGAGTGCTCGGACAAAGAAAGAATGAGCAACACGCCGACGGGAGCCCAGCGACGGCGCGTCCGTGACACCATCTCCCGCACGAGGCGAGAGGGCACCCGACGGCAGGGAAACACGGCACCACCACCACCACAGCCGCTGGGAGCCAAGGCGGGTCCTCCGGTCTCCAGCTCGGGGGGGGCATCGCAGACCTCATCGCTGGAGGTGCCCCCCTGGTGGTAGCGGTGTCGCTTCTCCTCTTTCCTAAGCACCCCGCCCTTCGGAATGTAAAAGTTTCCCTTAATCGACTGTTCCAGGGCTGTTCCCTATAAGCCTCCATTCTAATAATATCGGGTGAGCGTCAATGGGGGAGAGAAAGAGAGGATGATGCGCAGGACGTCCAGAGAAAACGAGAAACCCACGCCAGATGTGCAGGGCACGTGGCGGTGCTCTCACAAACGTCTCAGCAGCTCTCGCCCCTCTCTCGCCTCTTCGCCTGTACTGCTACCAAGGCGCGCTGCTGGGGCATTGCTTTTGCTAAATCCCTTCAGTATCTTTCCGCTTTTGGCCTCTGGGGGGCCGTTGTCGGGCCCCCGGGGCCAGCAAGCATGGATCTGGGACGCACGCCTGCCCCTGGGGACGCGGTCGGAAGCCCCGGGGCCGCGGATGGAAACGGCCAGGCCGTCGGGCGTCTGGGGAGGAGGCCGTCGTCGAACGAGGGCGGACCTGGCCGCAGCAGAAAAAGAAGGCCACCTGGAAGCTCGCAGCACCTCGGGAGGGCCGAACCGACGCCGAGGCGGCCCTGTGACCCCCGTGCTTTTCCAAGGTGGTCTCACAGCACCGCTCAGCAAGACAGTTTCGACGTCGCAGGGTTCGTTCAACCTCGAGCGGCCGGCAGCCTTCCGACGGCCAGATCGTTCCAGGTTGGGCGTGGCCAGCCTGGCACGCCCGCGGCGGGGTCGCCGCGGAGTCGACGCGACGCGAACCCTCCGTACCCTCAGGTCGACCCCAAAAGGGCCCAGTGATCCGCACACGATCTCGGCGTGGCTCCCAGCAGGCCGCTGGGCAACCCCAAGGCGGCACAGCATGTGTGCAACGGGCGACCCAGAGATGCCCCAATGACCATGCGATGGCCCCCAGGCGGGCCCAAAGTAGCCAAAGCGAGGCCAGAACGCGACACCATGGCCCAAGCATGGCCCCGATGCGCTCTCGAGATGACCCCAAGAAAACGCCGATACGAAATCAAACTGCGGGATCTTCACCCCGCTCAGGAGTTATCCCAACCGCGATGTTGTATGGGTGGGATCTTTGATTTCCCGAACTACAGCTACATATTGCATCAATGGAGCGGGATCCTGGCCAGACCACGCAAGACGAGTCTTGCCTCCTGAGCCCTCGTCCCCCTCAGGGCTGCCGTCGCGGTGACCTCGAGAGCAAACTGTGCACTCGGGCGCACTCGCAGAAATTCAAGGAACTTTCGGCACGGCAGCGTAAGCACGAAGCTGTGCTGTGGAGGGAAGGGGGCGACAGGACAGGACAGGACATCCGCATAAAGGGGTTCAACGTCAAAACACCTACGCTGGTGCCTTGCGCGCTTCTGACAAAATCCCCTGCGATTGGCTGTGCAACGGCCCTGCCTTCTCAGTAGGGCTGGCAGGGGGCATGCCACGCTGCCCAAGGAGTGAGCTCCAAGGCGGCACCGTAAGAGAGACTTGCTGCCTCGCTACCTTACGATGACGAGTCCCTTCGGGTCAGTGCGGGGGGGCAGGGAGAGAGAGGCTTTTGACTGCACTTGGCTCGTTGCAAGTAGCTTGAGCTGGGTGGCCGAGGTCGGCCAGGCGGCAGACAGAGCCCGCCTAGCGGGCACAGCAAAGGTTCTCCGCTCCTGGTCCGTCCGCAGGCAAAAGCGATTCTTCGCCATTGGACCTGCATGATGGGCGGGGGAGGTATTGGCACCGAAGGGGAGGGAGGGGGAATAATAAGAAGAGAGGGGATCGGTGCCGTGCGAGAAACACTGAGCGCGCCATCTAGGCGTTGCCCTATGCGGGCAGCGCTGCACGACCGAAGAGCAGCAAAGCTAGCCTCAGGGACGGCCACCTGGGAGCATGGCTTAGCCATGGAAATGAGCGGGATGAGTAGGAAGAGGGCCAAAATGGCCTTGCCGCGCTGTAGGGCGGCCGTGGCGGAGCGGACCAGGAGGGAGAGGCTGGCGTTGCCGCCAAGAGACTAGGAAGCCCCATCGGTAACGCACGTGACCGGAAAAGGGGGCAGGTGAGAGAGCGCCTGTGCTGTGCTGGACGTCTTGGAGTAAACGTGGTAAGAGGGGAGGGATGAACATAAGGGAGGGAGAGGGATTATCTTGTCCAGCCAAGCAGCGCTAGGGCGCGGTAGCTGTCAGTAGAGGTACGCCCCTCTGACGGCCAGCATTAGCCGAGAATTGCTCGGCAGGTGGGATGTACTGAGGCGGCATCTTTGCTTGCCGCAATAGCCAGGAGACTAGGAAGCCCCATCGGTTACGCAGGTGACCGGAAAGGGGGCAGGTGAGAGAGCGCCTGTGCTGTGCTTGGCGTCTCGGTGTAAACGTGGTAAGAGGGGAGGGAAGAACATATGGGAGGGAGAGGGATTATCTTGCCAAGCCAAGCAACACTAGGGCGCGGTAGCTGTCCGTAGAGGTACGCACCTCTGATGGGCAGCATTAGCCGAGAGTTACTCGGCAGGTGGGATGTGCTGCGGCGGCAACTTTGCTTGCCGCAGCATCGACTCAGCCGTGGCGAGTCTGCGAATTGCGCTGTGAGCATTGCTCCGACCGCTCTTCTGGTAGCGTGGCTGCTCAAAAGTGTCGCTTTGGCCTGGCCGCAATGCTGCGGCAAGAATGTGTGAAACTAGAGACTGGTGCTGGCTACAGCTCTTGCGGCTGACCCGCCCTCTGGATGGGGCTGAAGAAAAGAGCTGAAGGGCCCGCTGCGACGAGACTATAGGACAGCTCGGCCGACCTTAGATTGGAGCAGCATAGCTCCTCAGCTGGTGAATTACGGTACGTGTGGCTGGCTAGGGCTATCTAGGTGGTGGGCTGCCGATATAAGCAGAGACTAGGGTATTAGGCTGGCCCACCACCTATGAAGACTCAGCCGTGGCGAGTCTGCGAATTGAGCTGTGAGCATTAGCTGTCCGCTCTTCTGGTAGCGGGGCTAGCTAAAAGTGTCGCGTTGGCTGCACTAGTGCGGCAGAGAGGTGTGAAGCTGGAGACTGGTGCTGACTACGACTTTGCAGCGGGCCTTTGGCATGGGGCTAAATGAAAGAACTGATGGGCCCGCTGCGACGGGATTGCAGGTCGGCTCAGCCGATCTTAAATTGGAGCAGCACGGCTCTCCAGCTGTAAACATTTGGCTCGTGTGGCTGGCTAGGGCTGTCTAGGTGGTGGGCTGCCGTGGTGAACAGAGATTAGAGTATAAGGCTAGCCCACCACCTATTATTTGCGCCGAGGTCGCCCTTGTCGACCTGGGATGGCGCCGGCTGGGAGGTAGCACGCTCTAGGGCCCGCTCATGCACCGCGCGGCTGCCGCGCGGCCGCCGACGCCGCCGCTCGCGCCCGGGCCTCCAGCAGCATGGTCTCGACCTCTGAGATGGTCGCCAGGCCTGGAGCCTCTATCCATTCCCAGTCCCAAGTTTCGACGACCTGGCCGTTGATGACGTCGAGCGACTTGAGCTTCCACACGAACGGGTAGAGCATGCCGTTTGGCATCTTCCATTCGCCAGGGTACGTAGCTGGCCACCATTTCTTGAACTCCCTGTTGGCGGCAATGTACTGGGAGCCCTGCCATGCCGAGCCCGAGTACGTGTCGCCTGATAGGCCGAAGAGCTCGGCCGCGGCCTCCTGCGGGGGCGCGGCCCCCTCAGTCGCCGCCGAAGCGCGCCCGCCCGCAGGAACCATGGCTGCGCTGCGCGCTCTGAGAGGAGGGGGAGTGCG